GTCAGGCGGGGGTGCTCGGGCCCCGCTATTCACACAGGGCAGGAGGGGCCTGTGCCACCGCCCAGCCCCCGCTTCACTGCACCTCGGCCTGAGGGGCTCGGTAATAAAACCCTCTGCTCCAGCCAGAGGTAAAAAAAACCCCCAAAAACCCAACAAAAAAGCCCCAATCAAACAAAAAGACCAAAAAAGCCCCACAAAGCCAAACCAACCCCAAAATAACAAAAAAATCCACCCCCAAAAAACAACTGGATGTCTAGAAAATGTGATAGAAAAGCTCAGAATAGAGAGGCACCCTCAGAGCATAAGGAAAGGCCGAGCAGCTGCGCTGAAATGAAAGGGGAAGCTTTAAACTGCGATTTTTGCAAAGTCCCCCAAAAAGCACAGAGCTTGCGGGGGAAAAAGTGCGAGTTGGTGGTGCCTCGGTTTTAAAATTGCTCATTGCAGCTATCGGCGTGAGTGTACGCGAGGAGAGCACCCGAGGAGCCGTCAGCAGCTGCAAGGAAACCATCTGCAAGCAGCTCATCTGAAACACTGCCCGACGCTTTTTGTACGTGAACAATTTAGAAAACATTTGTTAGGGAAGAAATCAATAAATTCCCACTTCATTTATAAAGGAAGACGGCAGTTAACTGTACGGTTATTCCTTCCAGTTGTTCTTCCATCTGTTTTGGCAAGTGCAAAGGAGCAAGGAATATTGCCTTGCAATGAGGCACAACATTGCTTTATTGCTTGCTGCCTGTTTGAACGTTCATTACTTGATCCTATTTGAAGCAAAAAGGGTTTCTCCCTTTCTGGATCACTCCTGCCATAGCAGGTTCCAGCCACAACTGCTTACCAGGTGGATCTAGCAGCTGATACGTTCCTGAAGGACTACATGTTTAGCTCAGGTTTGGTTATTTTGGGGACCAGCTCATCCTTTGGTGTATTTGTGTGCTTTAAAAGAGATTTCAGACCTATAAGACTATGATCTCTGTAGTAAGTCATACATCAAAGATGTAGAAATACAGAGCTTTGTAAGGATAAAAAAAGTCTCTAATTGGACAGACCCAGGAGTACATTGAGCTGTTTTTCCCCTTAAAGAACCTAAAACCTTTATGCTTTATTATTTGGTGATCAACACGGCATTTTCACACACAGCATTTCCTCCCAAATGGCCCCAAGGTGCTGTTTGACACCGGGGACAGGACCCACTCCAAGCTGGGGAGCAGGTCTCTGCTACTTTTACCTTGTTGGGTCACTGGTGATGGACAAAGCTCCCTTCAGCCCTCTGGGCATTTCCACCCACCGCACAGGTACCTCTCGGGGACAGCAAGGCGCCATGCTCTGGTGTGCGCTGTCCCCAAAATGCAGCCCTGCTGCTGGGGCTCCAAGACTGTTGGGTTGGGCAGGGGGAGGAAGATCATGGCATGGAGCTGCAGCTACGGGGAAAATCCCCAGAGATGTGGACTGTAGCCCCGGGGCTCAGGTTCCCCCGTGCTGCAGGGTAATATCCCCGCTCGCTTACAAAGAGCTCTGGTATCTGCTAGTGCCATAAGGGACACGGTCCTCCCTCTGGTGACTTACTCAAAACTATGCTGGGTTCAAATTTTTGTGTAACACCTGAAAAACCACAGCAGGGAGGCGCTGTAGAAATAAGTGTGTTATGCAACAAATTGTAAGACTTGATGTTCATCATGAGAAGACCTGGCTGTTTAACAGTCTTTCTCATACATCTTTCATTTTATTTCTTTTTTTTAACTTAGAAAGGGCATATACAGAGTTATTAGAATCACTGCTCTCTTAAGTCTAATACACACAATGTAATCTCATGGTGCGTGATCCAGCTACGAACAAGTAAATTGTCCATTTGCTTCAATACTGCCTGCATACAGTTTTGTTTTCATCGCTATATAAAGACAATATTAAAAAGTCAATTTTACTTACATAGTTAACAAGTGCATTTTATATGCTCACTAAAGTCAGCATGCCATTTCACAGGCAACCCAAAGCTGCTACTGTTAAATGCAATACTGTGATTCTATATAAAAGATTAATTTAGTTTTTATGTCTTTACTGTTGCTTCTTTTTAATACTGTCTTGCTTGTTTTCTGTTCACAGTGTGAAGCATCAAGCACCATTCCTCTGCTGAAATATAGACACTTCTAGTTACAACCAACACTCGGGTAAAAACATAAAAACATGTTTTCTACGCAAATGCCTGTCAAACTATACGGACAAAATTGCTGTGACATCAATATGGTATCGTCATATCAGGATCATACTATCTATACTTTGTGGATAACACAAGTACAACACTAACATCACCTAGTTACAACAAAACTCTATGAAAACTATCCTACCACCGCTCCCTCTGGCTTTCTCTCTGCTTGCAGGTGCACACCTTGCACAATGCCAGCGCTGCCGACAGCACGCTGAGGCTGTCCACCCCATGCACCCAAAGGCCAGGTGCACAAAAAGGTCAATTTAATTCAGAAATTAATTGCAAAGAGAGTAAAACAACCTCCTCATTACCTTTGGAAATGATTTCACGTACCGTGCATGACATCTTCCCATCCGTTCATTCCCTTCCAATGCATCTCTGACGCCCAGCTCCCAGCTTTGTATCTGCTGAGCTGAGCTCAAGCTGGCTGCAGGACTCGCTCCAGCTCTGCCTCTGTGGCTAATCTCACACCACCTCTGCTGGCTGTAGCATTTTGTCAGTGCCTGAGGACTCACACCTGCAATGAGATGCTGATTTGTCGACTCCACGTAGGAAGTCAACACTAATCCTGCTCCCTTCGGCACAAACAAAAAGGCATCAGCCTTTCCGTGATGTTTTTCCATCAGGCTTCCTTTCTTAGAGGCTTTTTTCCAGGGGGATTGTGCCAAAGGGCCCCTGGCTGCAGCTGTGCTGGGCTCATGCCTGATTTCTTGGGAGAAAGTGCCATCCCGTGGCTAAGTGAGAAACCCTTGCTGCTTTGTGCTGAAAACTAAGGTCAGGCAAAGCTGCCTTGGACAACGATAATCCCTGTACCCTGTGCTGCAATAAGGTGAATTACCACCCTCCCATCCTCGCTCATCCCCAGCCTGCACAACTTTTCGGCAGCAAATCTGAGCTACAACAGCCCCCCTCCCACATCTTCATTACTTTCATACTTAGATTTTATTGCCTGTTCGTCATTATTCTTTAGGGGACAGCTATTGTTATTTTTCACTGTCAGCAAGGTCTGGCTTAATCACGGGGCTTGGACATTGAAGATGATGTTAAAATAAACAAACCAAAACTAATCACCACCCTGCTGAAGGGAGAGTTTCACAGACTTTCATCTCAAACCAGAACTGCTACTGAACGGACCTTTGACGTGACCACGGGCAGGCATGTCCTGCCTGAGGCCTCTAACACACAGGAATAATGGAGAGATTTCTGCTGCGCTGGCCCAGATACTCAAGGTTGGACAACTGGAGAGGTTTTTGTCTTCCCTGACAAAGTTAAGTTAAGTCCTGAGCATTAGTGGACATCAAGCACATTTAGGGATTTTATCCACAAAACCAGGGAAATAGAAACCACTACCCGCTATTTTTTAATACAAGTTAGCTAGAGAGGAGCTTAAAATCAGGGTGGCCCTAGCCTGTCCTGGTGCCTGGGGCTGTTCCTCCGCAGGGCAGGACCTGGCCTGTCCCCTTGTCCCCTGGATGAACTTCCCAAGGTCCCTCAGCCTGTTTCTCCAGCCTGTCCAGGTCCCCGGGGATGGCAGCACGACCCTCTGGTGCCTCTGCCACTGCTCCCAGTTTGGTGTCATCTGCCCAGGTGCTGAGGTGCACCCTGCCCCATGGGCCATGCCATTTATTAGTGAAAAAGTTAATCAAGCCCAGACCCAGTTCTGACCCATGGACTACCCTGCTGCTTACTGGCCTCCAATTAGACTTGGTACAACCAGTCACCACCCTCCAGGCTCAGCAGTTTTCAGTCCACGCTTCTTCAGCGTATAGACTCTAATCAACCCACACAAACTCTAATTAAAGATTTTTTTTTTATTATTATTCGCACACAGTCGAGCCCTATTAGCATCAAAGAGTGCTGTGTCTGTCGTAACAGCAGGTCTAGGAAGATAAATCCAGGAGAGGATTCTGTCCATTCAGTGCCTTGAGAAACAGCTGAACACACCAACAGTACCTCTTAAAAAACTTACAGCAAAGACACCTTTTATACTTAGAAACCAGAGGGATCTTGGCACAGCAATCCACAGATGGTGCCTGTCTGTTGGACTAAGGGATTACGTCAGATAAAGGTATTAAGCCCGAGTTCAGGAGCAGGTATTCTCCCCTCCTTGGTAAAGGAGTCTACAGGCAAGCCTTTGACTTTCCTCAGCCAGGCCTTCCTGCACGCTCTCTGCTGATCTTCCCGGAGCTTCGCCTGCTGCGCCTGGTGCTGAGCCACAGCAGCTGCCTCATCCACCTCCTTCTGTTTTCCTGTCTGAAGCCTGAACCCACTGTCACTCTGGGAAGGGTCTGCAGCATACAGACAAAAAGGTTTTTTTCTCCTGGAAACCGCTTCGTTTTTCATTTGCGCAATCATCACTCTTGTTGATTTGATCAGTTCAGAAGAAGCTGTGAAGGGATCGGAAAGCTGAAGCCCATCTTCAGGGAAAGGAAGGACTTTACCAGGACCACCGAGAGCTTTCCTTTCTCCCAGCAAACCACAGCAAGTCTTGGGACGTACAATGGAGGGAGCAGGGATGGAGGAACTCACTGCGGGTCCATGCAAAGAATTTTTCAGCTTGAGCTGCAGCATTTTGGTTTCAAAGGGTACAGAAATTCTTTTCATGGTCAGAGAATCAATGTGCAGTCTCGCACGTTGGAGCCGGGCTGTCTGATCCTTTTTGTGTTGCAGAGGGGTTTGGTATATTTGTACCTTTTTGGGGTGGTGTTGCTGGTGCTCCCATGGAGGTTCCCACCCTTCCCTGACTTTTGCAGTGTTACTGGAGCTGACTGGGGCTGACTGGCGGGCGTTCTGCAGCGTGCTGACCATTAAGAGGAGCTTGTCAGGGGATATGGGATGACTTGGGCATCTTCTCTTTTCACGGTGCAAAGTGGCTTCTGCCTTGTCGGGATGTGCAGGTACCCAGAGAGAAGGGCTGTGTTCAGATTTGCCATCTGTTTCCAAAAACAAAACACCACAGCTGGAGTCTGATCACCCTTGACCACACCAGGGACACTGCCAACATCGAGGTGACTCTGCCTCAGCTGACCAAGAAGTGTTCCTTGCCAGAGGAAGTCAGATTCTGTGCCACACCTTGTATTTGCATGTGGATGGCTCCGTATATCCGCTGTGTTGGAAACTCTGGTTTGTAAAAGGAGGGAGATTCCTCCCTCACCACCTCTTCCCCTGCACCCCTGTCTTGTCCTGCAGTTTGTGCTTTGGGAAAAGGGCTCGAGACAAGGAGTAACCGTTGAAGTAGCCAACACCCGAGAGCTGCTTGGAGCTGTTACTACTCAGAGCTGTGCTTGAACTGGAAATCACAGGACATGCTCCATGGCCCAGCCACGGGGACTGACCTGTGCTGTATGGTGGACACATCAGGATGGATGGTGTGATTACACCCTTGAGTAGGAGCTAGAGGGGGATTATGACCCAGACTGCATGACATGCTCAGCCTGGTTCATTTGTCACCTTGCTTTGCAATGTCACACCATGCACGTGTCATTGCTTTGCAATACAATCCTGTTTTTCCAGAGTGGTGAACCGAAACTTCTGCCCTCCAGAGATTATTTGCAGTGCAGAAAGGCAGAATGCTGTAAAACAATCTGATGAAAATTGCTGCTTGTTCCTCATTCACAGAATTTGGAACTGTTTGACGTGCACACGACTATGACCCTGAATCTTAGTTAAACACCAGGAGCTGGGGGTTAGAGACTTTTGGTTGGTGCAGCTCTTCTGAAGTGAGACTTCAGAGTGTGCCTTAAGCTTTAAGATCAACAGATTCTGCATACAAAACCTGAGAAAAATTAACTTGAGACAAGTGCCATATGGCCACAGACCATGTTTGTGACCTCAGTACTATCTCATTTTCAAGTTTCAGGTTGCCACATCGTTGCTGGCTGAGACAATTTACATGTAATTTTTAAGAACAATTTTCTGAGTTACTGCTATTGATTAAACACCAACTACTTGAGAAAATTTTTATGCACAATTCTCCTAAACTTGTTAAAGTAAAAAAAATAGAATAAGGATACAATTAAAAAAACTTAGATATCAGAGAACTAGGTTTTATAGCTAGTGCTGATCACTTGTCCTATTTATTTGATTGATCTAAAGCAGCTTCTGTAGCCATCACAAGCCCTGCAAGTGATCTTTTCTGCTGCTGAAAATGTTTGGTCCAGAATGGGCCTGTTTTCTAGAGACCATTCTAGAGACTGATACCTTTTGTTCAATCCATTCTCACTGATCTCAGGTTTGTTTGGAGAATTACCATCCTACCTGGCTGTGCAAAGTCCTTACCAGCATCTGCCAGGGCTCTTGCAGAACGTGCTCTCGCTGAGGTTCCGGAGGCGAAGGCAGGGGGTTGTCTGGTGCCAGGAATGAAAAGCTTTTTCTGCAGCTCTGCCTGAATACAAAAAGCCTTTTCCATCTCGAGAAAAGACTGCTGCTGCTGGCAAGCTGCTGATTTCATCAGTTTGGAGCTGAGAGCTAGAACACAGAAGAAAAAACTCATCTCTCAACTTCACTAGTGTTCAACTTTTTCTATTAAATAAAAAATCTTCATAACTGATGGGATTTCAAGACTTTGGTTACTGTTTTGGCTCATGTCACAGCTTCTAAAGGTCTAGGTGTTAGAAATAAACCAGAGATATTTGATTAGCAGAAGACCTCACAGAATTCAGCAAATGCTGATTTTTTTTAGATATTAACTATACACAATCCATATTTTTTGACACTAAAATTAAAACATATTGCACTCCCTGCTTATTTCTACAAGCTATTGTTTCTACAAATCTTTTACCAAGTAGAGCTGCGTTGAGGAGGTTAACGTCTGATGCCCTTAACAGCCTGAAAACTTCCTTAGCCCATCAGTTTATCTGCAGCATACAACTTGATCGTAGAGCTGGATTTGTGATAGGTACTGCATTAAATAACTGCTGATTTAAAAATAAAACAGCATCTCCCTGTTACCATTCCAAAGGTGCTTGCTTGTGTGCAGTTGCATTTCCCGCTGATGGCAGATCCTGAATGCAGGTGTCCTGTCCCTTTCTAGAGTATTTTCTAATAAATAATTCAAGCACTGACTCAGCAGCATGTTCCTGCACACACCCGCTGTAAGAATGAATGCTACTACTGATTTCTTTATTTACTCAGTTGGAAAATGACAGCGCCTGTGTTTTGAGTTTATACCAAACCTTTTGGAAAGGTTCCAAGGTTTTACAAAAGCCTGGAAATGACAGAACTATTGCAATGCAACAACACGACTACCAGACTGCGCTTCAAAAAGTGGAGGGTCTGTGTATTGATTCGGAATAAGGCAGTGGGTATTTGAAGCTATTTCTAACTCATTTTGGAAAGCGAAGCAGGATTATTGCAGGGGCTGTAGTAGTACTTTTTAACGCTCCACCACCTTTTGATGACTGGCTGTGAATCCAGTGAGACCGCATGAGCTGGTCAGCATCCTGTGTCTGCAGAGCCAGCCGATGCGCCTGGCTGCCGGCATGGCGTGGTGTCCGTGGAACGCTCTGCCCCGTGCGCTGGTTTTTCTTCCCCACCATCACTCGGTCAGCACCTAAGGTATGGTCCCACTTGACATCCTCAAACTGGAATATCAACAGGCTAGTTGGTGAATTGATGACCATCCTGGAGAAGGCAAGCAGAAGCCGTTAAAAGCAGGGGATACGGTTAACGCAGCAATAACAGAGCCTTTGCTTCTGTGCAATTCAAGCCCTGAGGGCACTCAAACAGATCCGAGATAACCATCACTTGTTTAAGGAAGCAGCAGCAATTAGTCCCATCAATCAGACGCTGTACTTTTTAACTCATTCTCTGTATGAGCTCTGTGGGGCTCTTTTCATTCAGCTCTATAGCAAAAATAGCTTTAAAATTATTAGGATGACAATTACCAACACTGGACTGAGCTCGATCAGTGCAATGCCAAAAGAAAGTGGAGATGCCATGTTACTAGGGACATTTAAAGCTAAATTGGAGGGGTATGCTGGATCCTGTTGGGATGGAGTTAGTTTTCTTCATAGCAGCCCATATATTGCTGTGCTTTAGAGTTGTGACAAGCCAGCATTGACCCCACAGCAGGGTTTTAGCTGTTGCTTACACAGAGGCTGGGAGTTACCTTCAGTTTCGAGGTGCAGAAGTGAATGAACCTGGAAGGATTTTCCATTACTGGCTTTTATAAAGGGGCAGTAGGTCAGGGAACAGGCAGAGGCTTTGTCAGGCTTTAGTTTGATTCGCCAGCCTCTTAAGAAATTTGGGTTCTGAATTCACATTTGCCATTGGGTCTGTGTCTTTAGTTGTATAGAAACAGGAAATTGTACATTGCTGGATGGACTAAAAACATCTTTTCAGACATTATTAACAAAACCAGATTCTTAAAGCAGTCAATAAGCAGCAGAGCCCTTTAAAACTTAATTGTGAGAAGGACAGCAAAAGGAAGAACACGCAATTCCTTAAATTACAGTGTTATCTACCTAATTGGGTCCAGAGGCCGATGGCAGCTGCTGTCACCAACCTGTTTCCTGCAACATAGAAAGAAGATATGGGGTCCCCTTGGGGGCAGGCCATTAACACTTTCAGGCAGGTCCCAGTCAGGTAGTTAAAGATCCGGATCTTCCCGTCAGCACAGCCGCTGATCACTCGGAGATAGAGGAACTCCAGAGACAGAACCTCCCTGCAAACAGAACATGTAAGCATTGGTACGTTCACCATGCCTTCACAAGGAGATACCAACAACGGTCTCTTTTGTCTTGGAGGAGATGCAAAGCTCTGACTCTCCATCCACAGGGTGAACAGATGAGCTGAGCAAAGTATTGATGGTGAAGTCCTTCATCATCTCTCCATGCCCAAACTAACCAACCAGTATGGTTATGGCCATCTGCTGCATTTTCCATCTCATTTTTATGTCTAGGAAAGTGAAAACAATGTGCTGCTACAGTTTTCACAGTTCTGATATACAATTAAAGTATTAGGAAATGGCGCAATATACAGTCGGCAGGGTTCATCGTGTACCTCAGCCACCCCCAGCACAGAGTGTCTGTTCCTGACCCAGTACTGGGATACCCTGGTGCAAACAGGTTGGGATCCTTGGAATGCTGGTCTGTGCACTGTCAGCCTCAGATCATCCCTGTTTGTGAACAAGTGGTTGTGTGTTTGCATTTTAGGTTGTTATAGGTCTTTACTGACAAACGCTGGTTGTGACCTTGTAGTGCCTGACACTGCTTTTAAGAAGATTGTTGAAAGTGAGGATATTTCAAATACCAGGACTGATAATAGGGCATTTTCTGTTCCCATAAGGGAGACATTTTCTTTACATACTTGGTGGACTGTTGAATACAACTGGAAACCCATCCGATTCCCACCTAGGGTGGCGGAAAGCTGTGAGACATCTCTTCAGCTTTCCCAACATGCTCCATCCCAGGACAAACCCATCAGTGCTTCCTGTGACAAGGTGCCACTGATCAAAGGCCAAGCACTTAACAGGGCCTTGGTGCCCCTCCAATATCTGCAAAGTAAAAGAAAGAGGTGCAACACTGTCAGCAATCTGATGCAGATACTCTAGCATATCTTATGGCATCCACAACACCAGCCTCATACCCTATACTGCACTTTTTTTCAGGTGACAATATACTGATACACCCTAGGATAACTGTGTTAGTTTTATAGTCACTTATAAGAAATATTCTGTGCTTGCTGCTGCTGATGAGCTACTACCATGGAATTAACATCCATTTTCCATCTTTATGATGCGCTAAATAGATGTTACTGCACTGAGAGCTTTGTGACCTACTGGATATCCACCCTAAAGAGAGTGGCCTGCCCTGCCTGGAGTGGAAGGGGCAACTGCAAACTTATCCCAGCTCCAGCTGAGCTATCTTGCATCCAAGACACATCTCAATTTGCAACTCTTCCCCACAGGTAGGAAGAGCTTCAGTCCTCTCAGATGTGGGCTAATGCTAATGCTGAGTCCATGCTAAAGGTAATGAGCAGACTCTGGCCTCAATCTCCAGCTGCTTCAGCTTTGGAAGTTGCTTCTGAAAGCAAGTTTCATATTTTGGGCTAACCCTTGATACCTCCGCCCCCGAAAGCTGTTAGTCAAGCCCTCTCACCCTCTGCCCAGGTTCTGGATGTTTTACAGAACAGACATGAACATATCTACAGAGAATGAGTAATGATGGGGGTTAAGCGAGGTGAGTCAAACCCTGGGTTACAACTGACAGTTGTTTGCAAGGCAGCTTTTGTACTGTTTGCTCACCAATAATTCTGCAGTTTCTTTTATCAGTTTAAACTGCTCTTGGTTTTGGTTTTTTGATTTTTTTTTTTTTTTTAATAGCATCTTTGCCATAAGCAATAAGCTCTAAAACCATCACAGGAGATTTTTGACAATTTAGCACACATTTATCCACTTAAGAAACTTACTTTGATCAGAGTGCCCGTATCTGCCCACCAGACTTTCACCAGCCCTCGCTCACACCCGCTGACAACGCGGCTGCCGTCTGTTTTAACCACCCAAACGGCACTGCTGTGCTTCAGCGTCTTCAGACATTTCCCACTCTCCAGGTTCCACACTGTTAGGGGCAAAGGGGAGAAACAGTAAATATTTATGCATCAACAATAACTTTTTCTGATTTAATTAAAAGATACTATTGGAATGACCGTTGCACCTCATACCTGCAGCTCTGCATGGAGCCAGGTGTTGGCTTAAAGAGTGTAACTGCATGGCAAAACTGTTAAATGCCCACTCCAGAAAATGGCACATCCTTTTCATCCTTATTCTGTAAGCTGACAACAAGAAAATCTCTGGCAAAGCTGAAAGCTGATACCACTCTCAAGACGTGGTCTAGCCCTGTAGCCACAAAGCCGTTAAAACTGAATCAAAGCAGAAGTAATGAGAATGTATTCAGTGACACAATCAGAGTGCTTGAGTGAGTATGTATCAGCTTAGGCTGGTCTGGAAGCAAAAATATGAGACACTAGAATTCACCTCCTGATTCATGGGCTTGCTTTCGTACTCACACATTGCACATGTCACTCATCACAGCTCTGGGTACTCTGCCCACTTTGCCTTTGCTGGGAAGCTGCTCATCTTGCTCTCACCTTTCACCATTCCATCTCTGGCTCCCGACACAAACTGCTCGTCATGCAAATCCAAGCAGGTGATTGTCTCACAGTGACCATTAAAGATTTTCATACAAGCGCCACTGTAGATATTCCAGCATCTACAAAAAGCCAACCAAAAAGGGAACACAGTGATTAACTTCATTGATAGCTTAATCATCTTAGTTCCTACTTCCCAGGCCCAGCTTTTCCCCCATGCACACTCAGTTAAAATCAGGGGTCATTCCACCAAGGTCTCAGAGGACTGGGAATGCCCAAGTCGGGCTGAGTACTCAATTTTTAACAATTTACTTTGTCCTTCTACCTCCAAACTGCCTGGAAACATGTGGCTAGATTTCACCTTTAGCATGGTTGCTTTCAATTAACCTGAAAACACAGAGCTTTGCAGATAGAGCTGGTTACTGGCTGGTGCCAGGATGATTTCTGTTGCCTTTATCTAGATAAAGAAAGCAGAGGCTTGAACAAACAGCCCTTTGGGAGGGGAGAAGAGTGGGGCGGACAGAGCCTGAGCCCCTGTGAACTCTTTATTATTAAGTGCTGCCTTTGTCAAAGTTGTGAAAATGCCGTGACAGAGCCAGATAACCTGCTGTCTACCTTTCCACCCCTCATCATGATACTCCTGAGATTCAGTGATAAATAAGATGTAAGAGTTGATCACATCTCGTTTCAGGATGCAGTACCTGGGACGGAGCAGCTGTACAGCAGACACCAGGGCGTTAAACCTGCTTTAGCTAAAACGTCAGACAAACCCAGCCTTGGTGAACTCAGTGCCTGAATCTCACTTCAAGTGCCTGTGGGAAACATACCTGGTGTTTTAAGATACTTTAGGAAAAATCTGTGCATTACTCTCTTCCTATATTCTCATTCAGCACTGGGTGAAACTGGGAAACAGAAGCCATCCTAGGCAAGTGGGGGACGTGTTTCTATCTACTGTCCTTTCTTCATTACTGTCATGAAAGTGATGGCAGAAGGACTCCAGAAGGTTGGAATGGAGGGATTGAAGTTTCATTTTTCCCAGGTTTTCCAAGGGGCCGGTATCCTGGGGCACACTCCCAGCGCTGCTTACCTGATGCTGAGATCAAAGCTTGCGCTGAGAACAAACCCTTTCTTCTCCTCGAGGAACAGAGCTTTGATGCTCCCAGCATGGCCAGAGAGCAGAGGCAACACTTCCTTCATTCCCGACATACCCAGGAACCTCACTTTTCGGTCTGCAGAGCCAACGGCTACCAGGTTCCCACCGCTGTAGTGGATGATTCTGCTTGGGTCTGATCTGGGTAAGAAACAATGACCAAGAGGAGCTTTAGCCAGCTGGCAAGGTACAACAGGCTGGGATGGGCATTTCTCTGATGCTTAATGGTCTTCACTGGGCAACCTGATGGGCAGTATGCTTCAGCAGTGAATCCTTTACATAACCAGGGTCCCTAGTTCTGTATAGCTGTGTTTGCATCTGGAGGGTGAGCTTAAAAATAGGAGAGGGCTCCTTCCAGCCCCGTATTCTTTACAATACGCTGTGGATCTCTTACCCTTTTGGTATCTTCATAAAAAACTGGATTTGACACTGAGGATTTCTTAACACGGATGCTGAGAGACCCTTTCTCCAGCCACACATTCCCACAGAGGGGTCACAGTGGAGGAGACAGGTTGGCAGAAGCCGCTGTTTGGCCCTACAGCCAGGCAGGCTACTCACTCGTCCATGAGGACACAGCTGTTGTAGGAGCCACAGAAGACATTTCTCTCTTCCAGCTGGATTGTGTCAGTTTGCAGATCACAGTAGGCTGCCTGCAAGTTGTCTTTGTTCTCCTGATGGAAAGAGAAATAGGGAAAAGTGACTTGGGGAGGGAGGAGTCCAGCATCACTCCATAGCATTAAGCACATCAGCTGCGTCCCCGCTATAGCGATGAGACCAACAGAGAAAGTGCTGCCAAGGAACATCCAGAGCACAGGAACTTCTGGCTAGTGCAGAAACACGGGTTGTTCCCATGCCACGTTCCATGGAAAAATGGAAGATTTGGCAGCTGCACCATTTTGGGAAAAAGGCCATGTCCTCATGATGCTGCCCAGCCTTGCCAGCACATCAAGGCCATGCAACTGGGGGACACTGCGGGACAAGGCAGGAGGTCAGCGACACAAGCTCCCTCCCATGCAAGAAGGTGCTGAGCAGGCAGTGGTCCTTGTGAACTGCTCACTATGGTACCAGCCAGGAGCAGGAGTGGGAGAAGAGCAAAGTAACTCCAAATGTACAGTCCTGTCTTCCCAGACCACCAGGTCCTCCTTCCTCCCCAAAAACTGAAATACAGGGTCCATGGAGGGCAAACAACTTCCAACATACCTTCGTTTCACTTCCCCCATTCTGGTCTTTCACTTCAATGACATCCCCCTCTTCGTTTAACTGAGGAATTGTCACATCGACCATTTTAGCATAGTTTGAAACTGCTCCTTGAGGGCACAACCCCTGGAATAAACCCGGAGAGACAACGCAGTCACTGCAGAGCCCGTGCACACAGAGGATGCTGCTCGTATCTTGGTGCTTCAGTATCTCTGTGGGATGCTGAGGGTCTGTGCAAAGCTGAGCTGCACACGCTGGCTGGCTGTTCTTGTTTAGGAGACCTGGCTTGCATTTACCACTTTGTTGGTATAAGATTTAACTTCTTGTGAAAAATTGCTTTTTATTTTTTCTAAACTCTGGTCTTAAGCTTTTAAGATGCTGCAAAACTTTTCAATTTCAACAGAAAAAAATTTCAAAGTGCATCTCATCTTTGGTGAGCACTTGATTCAGAGTCCAAACCCACTGAGACAGAGGCTCTCAAAGCATCTTTATCAATATTTAAGATTCATTTGTAATGTGTGAAACCTTCCATTAGGCATTCTTTAAATGCTAGCACAGAGCTGAGATTTCTACGCTCTCGTCACAAGCCAAAGCATGCAAAGACCCCTACCTTTGTCTCTTTGGGGATTTTACCTTTACACTTGGTGTATGGCGGGTCTGTACTAACCAGGTCAAGCCTTTCCTAGAAGTTCAGCTTTACCGCGTCCCAACCGTCAGCTCTGACTTCTCAGGAAGAAACCTAGCACTTCCCTCTTCCCATGGGGAGCAAATAAAGCTCATTTTTGAGCAGCCTCAGGGAGCCACTGTAGCTCTGCCCAGTTTCCACCAGCTCCTGGAATGCCAGTATTTGCATTTGTGACCAAACTCAGTTTTCTTAATTACAAGAATGTTTAGATCCCTTTTTAGAGCTGCAGGCTCTCTGAAGGTCAGCAAAGGCTATTCTGCTGTGCTTACTTGTGACAGTCTGAACATCCAACCTGGCTTCGCTCTGCAGATGGAGGAAGAAGTAGCAGGGTGAAGTGGGGAGGTGGCCTCTTGCTAAAGGTATCTCCATCTGGTGGCTTGGGTGGTAACAGAAAAACCCTCTTTTTAAAGTGCATAATAATGGCAGCAGCCCAGGCGTTGTACCTGCAAATAGAGGATGTTCTCCCGTACCATCTTCTGACACACACGTTCCCTCTTCACCTCGTTGGCCAGGAAAGCCCAGCATCTGTTCACAGAAGCACACACTGTGAGGGATTTCTGATCCAAAAACCCTGAGGAGTTAAAGGGACAGATTGGCAACCCCATAGACACTCTAGAGACCATTTATAACCCTTTGGGGAAACCACCCTTGGAAAATCAGAGCAGCTTTACCCAGAATGTACATGGAGAGGTGAGGGGGCAGGTGGCAAAATAAGTCCTTGGACTGGTTGACGTTAGAGGGTGACGGCAGAGATGCAGGAACCGCGGTGGCATCTTGATCAGCTAAGGACAGAGCAGGCGAGTTGCCCTCGGCATCAGGACCCTCCTGGGTGAAGCACCCCGTGTTCTGGGGCCAGGAGTGCATTGCTGGTGGCTGGCCACCTAGAAGAGAGGGGAATCACCGGTCTTGTGGGTGCTTGAGCTTCCATGGCTGTTAAGGGTACTGCTGTTTGTAATGCTCTGCAAGAGTTGGCTGATCTTACCCCAACTCTTTTACAAATCCCTCTGTTATTGTATGGTCAAAGGAAGTGCTGAGAACACTCAGTGTCTCGCAGGACAGTGCACACCAGTGGTGTTTGGGGACAGAGGTGTGTGGAGTGACAATTCTTCGCATTCATCACTGCCCTGGACCATAGCAATGGCTTTCCACAGCTGGGAAAATTAGGTATCTAATAACTAAATTATACTATCTTATTTATTCTGTCCCTTCTTGCTATGCAGAATTAGTCCTGTCAGCACTTTCCTTAGTGTGGTTCTCATTACTAAAACCATTCAGCTCACAACCACTCCTCCTGAGATGCGTTGCCCAGAAGAATTCATACGAGGAAACTATTTCCATTACATTGTTGTCAATTGTGCTCCATTATGGGCTATATTCTCCCCCCTTTAGCAATCCCTTGATTTCCGGGGTTACCCACACAGGCTGGCACCGAGGCAGAGCCAGCCCCGGGAGGCCAGCGCTGGGTCAGGATCAAGCTGTGGGGTCCAAGTCCCATCTGGCCCTGTCCTCTGCTGCCAGGAGCACCCCATTCCCCCCACGACCTGAGCTCGCCCCTGGCTTTGCCCACTCATTTCCTGGAAGGATCAGAGACCTTAACGGTACCAGATTTGCCATATTAACCAGAAGGGTAATAGCACAAGGCAAATCAAGCTACAATTAACAGTTATGTTGGTTGGGCTGCTGCTTTCGGCACTACCCTCTGCACTGCCCGCACAGGGAATTTTGCCACATGCACTGAATACCTGCCAGAGAGGAGAGCAGCCAGAGCAGCATCGGGAGGTGCTGGACTGCTGCCAGGATCCCCGTTGGTACAACTGGGGAATGTTATTCCCATCTTGGCATCATCCTGGGCATCTCCCCTGGCTGCAGCCTGGCCCAGAGCACACCCCGAGAAAGCTCAGGGGCAGATAATCTCTGGGACAAACAGCTCAGAGGGACTTCAAGGCCAGGCTGGATGAGGCTTGGAGCAACCTGGGCTAGTGGGAGGTGTCCCTGCCCATGGCAGGGGGTGGCACTGGATGGGCTTTAAGGTCCCTTCCCACCCAGCCCATCCTGTGACTCTGTGACTGCAGCACTCGGTGCTCCCCAGGGGACACGGGGTGCACTCAGGGACAGCTGGTAATCCCGGTGCCCCACTCTG